AAATAGAAATAGGAAGACCCCCACCAAAGGCCCAGACACAGTTCCCCCAGGAACCCAAAAGAACTGAGGGAAGAGATATCTTAAAATAAACAGAACTGAGTCAGTTCCCCCTTCCTGGAGAGGGTGAAGTCAGGTGTTTTCAAAAGAACAAAGTCAAGATGTCTGGTAGTGACCGATTAACCAAGAGATGCCCCTCTCTGGAGATAACATGACCAGACCCAGAGATGGGTTGTAAAACTCCTGACAGGGCAAACAGATAAGCTAGAATGAGGCCAAGTCCAGGCCCGGGAAAAACTGGACCAATCAAGGATGGACCCATACTAACCCCCTCTCCCCTAAGGAATTTTGTGGTTTTTGCCTATAAAACTATAAAAACTAACTTCCCCAAGAAAGAGGAACTCTCCTCCCTGCCTTGAGGCATCAGGTGTGGTGGACGAGAGCTCCCTGCTAGCTTGAACTAAACCTGTGTGCCGAGTCAATAAACCTTGCTATTTCATTCTGGACATCTTGAGTCTCTTTGGGGGTCCTGATCTCGGCAGAACAGAAATAACATCTCAAAACAAAACAAAAACAAACAAACAAAAAACAGTGTGAAGTAAAGTTTCTGAAAAGAACCTCATCTTCCATCGAACCTTCTGCAAGGCTGATCAACTGGCTAGAACTTGAGTGATGAGAAGAGGTCGGAATATTTCAAGTCCAGAGCCAAGGTGGGTCACCTTTAACCCACTTCAGAACCATTGACTTTCCTTCTCAGTACCAGACTGAGGGCTAAGGTTGTCAGATAGCATCTGAGGCCCACAGAAGAATTTTCCTGCTTTGCTGTAATCTCCTACCTGTGACCTCCACTATCTTATTTGAAAATGCCGTGATTGGTGACTTCCTTTGTTCTGTTACCAAAAGCATGCCATCAAACTGTGAGACCAAAATGAGCCATCTTAGAAATAAGACCAAAATGCTTTCACCCAAAAACTAAGGCCTAAGATTTCTCCTTTTAGGAATAGGCCATTAGTTACTGAAACCAGTCAGTTCAGATTCTAGAAACCAGGAAGTGTAAAAGTACAGAGTCACAAGATAGTCACGAGGTAATGCCTGCCAGACTATGGAATGTCCTCTCCCTGG